GGCTAGGTAACATCTTCAGTGCTAGAATGGGATGGGGTTTGCTCTCTGTTTATATACCATGGCATGCCCTGCCAGTGTTGGTGGGGTTTTGTTTTGCTCCTCTGGTAGTTCCTTGATTAGGGCATTAGTGGTCTTTTAGGGAAGTTGTAAGCATTGCCACAGCAAACATGAAGATTTACTGTAAAGAGTTGCACAAAGATGGAAATGAGAAAAACAAGCTTTTGACAACTACATGTCTATGCCCATCAGCTTCAAGCTTACAGGAAACCTTTGTAAAATCTCATTGCACATCTTGAATCACTTAGACCACAGCTCTCTGACCAAGTAAAAGCATAAATTTAACGAACAGAAGACCAATTTTTGCCTTAACAGCAAAAGTTTCAAATAAGTACAAATGGGAAAATAGTGGTACTGGTTCCAGAGGAGTAGTTATAGACCTTGGCAACTACTTACAGCAGAATCTGTTTGGAGACTCCATCCAATGTGACAGAGATGTCTAAAAGATATTAGATTTATAAAGTATTAGTGAAAATCTACAAGTTCAAGAATATGTATCAGCTCCTATAGTCAAGTTATGATTTATATTTAAATTTATTTTCCTTTTCCATCCCCAGCACAAATGGAGGCATATTCTAAGAAGCGACTACTCCACAGAAGATAGCAAGGATAAAATGCACACACACACACACTTGTTCTCACTTACTTGAAATTACTCGGAGACCCAATGTAAGCTTTGTTCAATCTTTTTCTTAGTTTTCCTCTCCTCTTTGTTCTCTCATGCATTTTTTGAATAATATAAAATGAGAAAGGTGAGACCTTGCATTTTGGAGATCTTGAATTTGAATGAAGCAAAGACAATGGACTAGATACCTTTGACATAGATGCTAAAAGACAGAGAACAAGTAAAACTGACAGCCCACATTACTCAATGTTAGCCAGTTTCAAACATAAGTTAGCAGCTACAAAAAAGTTCAACCTCATATACACAGTTGCTATTTTTAAGAATGTTTTGGAAAGCAAGCTTGCTCTATCTTTATTCATCTTTTTTCACAAGGGTTTTAATTAAATACTACTTTCACTATAACATATGTTTTAAACTTTATTTTTTCAAATTTTATTAGCCATTTTGAATACTCACCAAACTGGAAAGGTAGAATATAAGTCAAATGAATAACCCTTTTGACTTGAACTTGATGTAACAGGTCAGAAAATATTTTACTTTTTAAAGTACTGCTAAAATACTTTGATCTTATTAAATCATCTTTCCATCCTACCACACAAGTTGTTGTTATAAGGAAAAACAAGAATAGAGGATGCCATGTATATATATACCAACTTGAGCTCCTAAAGAATATAGAACAAACAAATCTCCTTTATTGCAGTAATTGCTCCATTTCACAAATATAGGACTTAGTGGCTAAGCAAAAACACAGAAAAATAGAAAACATCCTTCCTAAAGCCTCTCATTCCTTAACTTTCTCTGCTGAGTGGAAAGAAAGAACAGCAACTTTTTAAAACATCCAGAATGTATTTACCAACTGTTACTCCTTGTCCAAATAATGCCATTTTATCACAACTTAAGTTACACTCTTCTCCACAGGCTTTCACAGTAACAATCCTCAGCAAAGCACTTCATGACGGAACTTAAATAAGGGGGAATGTAAATACAGCTGTCAATAAACTCAGCACAGGAGTTAATGCTTGTTAAGCTTTCTCCAGTTCCACAGCATTTCAACTAATTGATTTCAGGGCTGAGGACTTGAGTCCTAAATGAAAATAGATACTCAACACGGAATTCTAACTGGCAAACCCTGCAGTGAATTATGGGTAGTTTCCCACAAGATGAAAACTCCAGCTGTTTTTGGAATACAATTCCCAGAATTACTAGCTAGCATAACTAGAAACATGGGGAGCTGCAGTTCCAGCACACTTAGAAAGTGAGATACTGGAAGAAGCGGTACTGTGTTTACCTGAAGTGGTTGTATTTGTAATGGATCAGAAGCAGGCTTCTTTCTCTTTTAAATTCCAAGCATATTCCAGGGCTGATGCATATTTTTCAGAACAAATATATATCCAAGATATCCATACATCATACTAAGCCATGGTTTAATTACATCTTGATAGTTCAACCAGATGCAGCTGAGTTCACACAACACCTTAAATCAAAATTCAGTAAGCCACAATACATGAATCCAATCAGTGGTTATGTTTGAATGACTTATTAAGCCAAACCATTGAGTCAATGAGTATGCACATGCTATTGTCTTATTGTACCACACAGGGCTTTTCAGTCAAAGGTTTGAGTGAGCTGCAATTTGCATTTACAGAATTTGTAATCAAGGCTTGTAGTGTTTCAGATGGAACAATAATCCTAGGAGCCTGGTTAAGAAGTCCTGATGAACAGTAAAATGGTGCCACACTCCACCAGACATTTTGGCTTAGTGTGTCATGCAAACATGGCATGTCTTGCAGAGAGTTTGAGGGACACTTATAAAAACAGATATATTTGGGATGCAAGCATCCAACCATCCTTCAGTTGTTATAAAGTTCTTCAGGTGAATGACATCCAGTGGACTCACGCCAGAAAGTGGGCTAGTAATGTATTTGTTCAGCTCTAAACTATAAGAGAAGGAAATCTAAATGCCTATGTTGGTATGCATACTCCAAACTGGGATGCTAATGCAGACTTAGGGTGGTGCAGGGTTGTTGGCCTCCAACTCTCATCTGGCTCAGCTTACATTGTCAGGGGAGCTGTAGTCCATATGGAGACCACTATTTTATCCCCATTGTTTTATGATATTATATTTAATCTAATTTCCTGATCGACACATAGAAAAACAACTCAGGTTGATTCAAATAATGAGGCAGATTCCTATACATAATAAAAGAGCAACCATCCACACAGCCATTAACATCAGTCTCTTGGAAGTATTATAAAGGAAGTTTGTTTTTAGCGTGTTTTAATTAATCAATATTTATCTATTTTAATTAATGTTTATTCTATTTTTACTGCAAACCGCCCAGAGTCACTCTACAGTGAGATGGGTGGTGATGAATTTGAAATATAAATAAATACATTTTTAAAAAAGCAATTCATGTAGCCCCACCCCAAGTGTTTTCTTGCTGTACATTTAGGAAGAAATGAATCTGATTACTTTTTTTTAAGCAGCCAGAATTAAAAGTATAAATGCTTAAGTCAGTGTTGTCCAAACTTGGCCACTTTAAGATGAGTGGACTTCAACTCCCAGAATTCCCCTTCCCCCACTGCTCGGCGGGGGGGTTCAGGGGGGGGAAGGGTTCTCACTTCTAAATGATCAAGAATTAGAACCATAAAAAAAACAATATATT